GAAACTGACATCAGAAAAGCTGGCGGCACTTTTGAGTCTAAAATATCGTCTGCTGTTTCCGAGATTTCGACAGAAGGGAAGTTAATGCAGCGTAGTGAGTTTATTGTTTTTTATAAGCGTTAGAATAGCTCAAAATTTAGTTTACGACGTTAAATTATCACTGTTTATATTGCTGAGAGTTTTCAGTGTTCGTGATTACCATTGCGACATTCGTCCTTTAGCTGACAACATTGGTTTCTTTCTCTCGTGTTCTGTCGCTCTCTTTCGCGATCTTTCACTCGGGACGCCAGATGTCGGCGCACGGCAAGGAGGATAGAAGGGTAGGAGAGGGCATGACGTCGGCCGCGTAGCCTCCACAAGCCATGCTCCCTTGACGCCTCGCCTCTTTCTCATTTTTCCCCTTACTCTCCTCTTATTCTCAGGCGAACGTGACCACGTCACGTGACCGTAGCTAGCCTTCGTCTAACTATGCTGTACTAGAATACACCACAGCCTAGCCTTCGATCTGATAGAAACCTACCGGACGGAGCGCGCGCAAGCCTGCAAGGAATCCTCCTACAAGCAACCATCCATCTCGCACGTGACATGTCACGGTGTGAGATGGATGGTTGATTGTAGAAGGAATCCTTGCAGGCTCGCGCGCGCTCCGTCCGGTAGGTTTTCAGATTGAAGGCTAGGCTGTGCCCCCCTTAGTACTTCTAACCTCCTTGGATGCTGGCTCTCGGCGCCGTTAGAGCACTATAATATAGTGCTCTAGGCGCCGTATGCTCGTCCGTTGGCGGCAGTTGGCGTCATGACCGCTGGCGCCATCTCTCGCCTCCCGCGTCAAACGGCGCCCTATTGTTTGATGACCGGTGGCTTCGCTGCATTTCTATAAAAGTTAAGCCTTTTTTAGTCTTTTCCTCAGGTAGGCTTTCTGCAAATTTTATAGAAAAAATGCACCACCTGTGGGCAACGCTGCACAAAATCGTAGCGCGATAGGTCAAGAAAACGAGTTTTGCGGTCGATTTAAAGAGGCTGGTAGCTATTTTAAACATCCTGTAGAGCCTCCTGAAGCCCCATTAGCTCTGCCACCGTTGACGATGTTTTGTGGCCGACCTGGAACTTAGTCGTTGTGACGTAAGGTGGAATGACGATGCTTGCAGTGGAGCTACTTTTGACACAAGATCCATTTTCGTCCCGTGGTTAGAGAAATTGGTCGATAAAGTGAGCTGCTTTAGAAAGAGCATTGGTGTGTTTGATTTCTTTCTGATGCCCGGAATTTCAAGTGCTACAATTGGGACAGGGAGTCGACATTTCAAAGGAGCCTACATCATTGGGGAGGTATTGTTCTATTGTAACAATGCCTTTGAATTGGGCTATTTTTGGACACAAAAAAAAAGGAATGAAAAGCAGTGGAGGTTTACGTTGCAAAGCAGCCGTCTGTCCCAGCTCAGCGGCATCCCAGAGATTTTCTAGAGAAGAAAGTTTGTGCTGTCTCTTTTAGAGCGCAGCTCCTCAGGCGCCAGTTTCCGGCTTGAGCGGCGTTTGGCGTCGCCGTCGACGTAACCGCGCGGTGCATTATGGGACGCATGACGTCACTGATGACGTCATCGGCATCGTCACTAATGACGTTATCGACATCCGCAACGTCCATCGTCACTGATGACGTCATCGTGACGTCACTGATGACGTCACTGTCACATGACCTCATAGGGGTCACTTGACCCCCGCGACGGTCACGTGACCCCCGTGAGGTTACGTGACCTAGGTGACGTCACGTGACCCCGTGAGGTCACGTGACCCTCGTGAGACGACGGCGACGCCGCTCGGAGGGAGGAGTAGCAGACAACATGAGGAGGTGAGGAGGAGGGAGGAAGGATATACCTTCCGCTCAGTACCCTTCCCCTCCTCCTCCTCCTCAAGAGCTGCGCTCTAACCCGGCGTTACAGGCAGTTGTAAACGGCTTTCATTTTTTTTTTGCAAGCCCACCCATGCGCCATCATTAGCTTTCATATGCATCGCGGTCATCTAATGGGCTGTTGGTTGATCATTACGTACTGGCAGTTTTCAAAAGAACGAGAGCAAGCACACCGTCCTTGACCTATAGGACAAATACACTGGGCTCAAGAGGAATAGAAAAAAAAATGTCTTGATATGACAGTCTTTGCTTTCCTTACGATTTTTTATAGTAGCATTATAAGTGTTTTAGACGTACTGTCTGACAGATGGAAGCCCCAACTTATAACTTTATCTTTGGCAGTTTCTCTTGCTGAGCAAGAGTTTGTGTAACCGAGTTGCCTCCTTGAGCAAACATGTTCGCACGTGTGGCATCGGTGATAAGTCAAGAACGAAGTGGAGGCTCCTCCCACCTCTTTCCACTTTAGTAGAGCGAACGCTGGAGAGGAGGCGATATGAAACTATTAACTATGGCGCATATTGTGCTCGAGGCATGGGAACGTGGGCTGGCTGCCCCGGGATGCAAGCAGGCCGCGTACCAGAGAGTCGCAGGCCGCATGCAGCCCGCGGGCTGCGTGTTTGAGACCCCAGGACTGTAGCCGGTCTAGCCATAGATGACGTGGTTGTGCGAGTGTCATGGGCCCCAGTGGCGTAGGCAGAGCGGGGGTTTGGGGGGTCGAAACCCCCCCCCCCCCCCCCTCTTTTCGTAGGCAGAGGGCAGGTTTGGGGGGGTCGAACCCCCCTCCCGAAATGCCGAACCTCCAGTCGGTTTCGCACGGGGCATGGAGCAAAGGGGGAGCGCGGACTACCTCCAACTTATATACTTTCGGGGAAAAGTGTTTTGGGGTAGAAAATGCTCAAATAAATAAAACAGGCAATATTTCTTCGTTCATGTTTATTTCATGGGATGCGGAACTTGATCTCAGATATACAGGGAACGAATATTTCAAAACATGTGTGGGGCAAAGGATGGTAATTTTAAGGCCAAGTATAACAAACTATCCTCGCTAAAATACACAGTTCAATCAAACCAAAGTGAACATAATAAAAGGAACACATGATGATAATATAAAACAATGTCAGGGATGTAAGTAATATTAAATGAATTGTAAAAAGCAACTTCACTGTAAGTAATGGGTGGCGCTGCGCTAACGCACAACTTGAGTACCGATCAGAATTACGTGCTTTCGACTAGTAATTACCACGAATAAAAAGTAACTGACTAGTTGTTTCAGAAAGCAATTTACAGGCTCTCTTGATCATCTTCATTATGCCAAGCGCCTCCACATTAAGATGCAGCCGCCTGCATGCGTTCACGGGAAAGAATATTTACGACGTACTCCGCTTGAACTTCAATGTGGCGATGAACATTCAAATGCGCTAGACTGAGCAGTCGCTCATTCCAAGTGGACGCTGTCAGGTATGTTTTTAACCGTAATGGTGAAGGGAACGAGCGCTCAGGTTCCGCCACTGTTACGGGCACAGTCGCTAAGATCGTGAGGAGAGAGAGGTGACGTGAAAGAAGTAGGGGAGGTTGTTCTAGCGGGAATGCTGAACTGCTTCCTTATGACCTCTGTCCGGACTCCCTATTCCCAAACGCCCATCGTCTGCTCATCTTGAGGAGACGATGGACGTTTGGGAATGGGGAGTCCGGACAGAGGTCGACCGCCTGCAGCGCAGACAAGGAGGTTATAAGTACTAGGAGGGGGCACGTTGCAATATTGGTGAAGCCTAGTCATAAAAAGTTTAAACGATTTTGTGCCCAGCGTGACCGCAGATCTCTCTGGCGATTGGTGCGCGTGACATGTCACGTGTGAGATGGATGGTTGATTGTAGAAGGAATCCTTGCAGGCTCGCGCGCGCTCCGTCCGGTAGGTTTTCAGATTGAAGGCTAGGCTGTGGTAGTACCCTATCGCAAGACGAAGGCTAGCTACGGTCACGTGATGTGGTCACGTTGGCGTGGTAAATGGTGAGAGTAAGGAGGAAAATGAGAAAGAGGCGAGGCGTCAAGGGAGCATGGCTTGCGGAGGCTACGCGGCCGACGTCATGCCCTCTCCTACCCTTCTATCCTCCTTGAGCGCGGACGTGACGGGCGTTTCACGTTCCCCTTGCTCGCCATTGGAGTTCATAAACTGAAACCAGGCTTGAATACAGCTCTAAAAACTGTTCAGCGCCGGGAGCTGCCCCGCTTTCCAAGAGCTGTCGGCGCTTTTCAAATCTCCCATTTAACTGCGTGATCAGGTAATCCATGAATACGGAGCGCTTAAAATGCTATTCCGTGCTTCCAGCGGGAATGTTAGAGCGGTGACGTTGCCGAATTGTTACTCGCGGCATCTGACTCCCAACTTCCGCTGTCTCGGCCATTTTGCCTAGTGTTTGTGCGCGGACGGTTTCTCCGATTTTTCAGCGTCGATATTTCTTTCCTTTTGTATTGCTGTTTAATTTCTTGTGACAGTATAGCTATCCTTTTGTTTTGTCTGGCCGGTACGCGTTGGTAATGCAGTGGTACCTCAAAAAGCGGAGGGAGTTATGTGTTGTGAGGAAGCTATTAAAGTTGGTGGGCCGCAACTACGATTGCAGTAGAACAGTGAGCTACCACGTCCGTATTCTGCAAATGAAGCCTGCTCTGGTTTGAAAAATGGCAATGCAGCTTTACCCATTTTATCTTAACAGCGCCTCCAATCTTTGCGTGAGCGTCTGTACCGCCGAGTTCACCCTACTTCGTATTTGGGGGGGGGGGGGGGGGGGGGGGGGGGGGGGGGGGGTAATACTGTTGTTCAACCCCCCCCGAAATAAAATCCTGGCAACACCACTGGTCATGGCGCTCTCTCCGTTGCGCCGAATGCTTATGCTTGCTCTTTACTGTAAACTGGCACCGCGGAATGTGAACTTTTGTAGCGGTGCGATCGCTCGCTCCCCAAGGAGCAGCACAGGCTAACCAAGTAGATGGCGCCAGACGCCATCCAATTACGAAGGGTTCAGCCACATGCGTTTACCCATTCATCTAAAGTAGGTTTCCAAGCTGGTTGAATCCAAATCAATCCAAATTCAAATCCATTTTGACGTCGTCTGTTCCATGCATTCGTGCATTGGGGTGATTGGTACGATTGCTGCCGTTTTGGCGTGGTTACCAGCTTTATATATTTGATAGCCCGTAGCTCTCGTGATCATATCTCGGCAACTAATAAGTCCACACCCTCAGCCACTGAAGCCGCCGTCGCTGCGCCATGAACCTGAGCGCGTAAGCGAGTGCGATCGTACGGCATGTCTCACCTGGGTCACTTCATTTGCGAGGGTTTCGCCGGGCCAGATCCGAACCCCGAAGAATGGCTTCGAGGTTTCGAAAAGTCGTCTGTGGCATGTCCGGAGGTGTGGACAGTAGTGTCGCGGCCTTCCTCCTCCGAAAGTCCGGTGAGCTGCCGATGTGTTCCTTTCCCATGTTGCGCGCATTACAGGCATGCATTGCTCGCTGTCCCCTTTGTCCATTGGACTGTGGGGTCGTTCCGAGCATGCACAGTAGTTCTCTTCCTCGAACTATCAGATGCCGTGCATGCCTCTATAGCGAAGTGACTAGGCATTTTCCGACTCGGTGATAATCAGTGGAAAGGTATGCGAGTCTGTAACAGGAAAGCTCCTGCCATAAAGCCCTCCACCCTTTCCATTTTAGCAGAGCAAACACTGAAGAGGAGGTGAGTGGAGAGGAGGAAATCTCCAGCAATCATGGCGAGCAGAGAGCTTTGTGGGAGAGGGTTGTCCTGCGATTCTAAACCTGCAGGTCTATAGGCCCTCTCTTGTACCACACCACAAGTCTTAAGTATGAGGTCATAGCCTAAAGCTTAATTAAGATGCAGTCAATTAATCAATCGATCGAGCGTCGCATATGGTCACACGTATGGTCCCCCAACGAGCCCTCATTGCAGGGTACGACGTGACGGGCGTCTTCATGCGAAACTGGGACCCGCACGACGCCGACAGCCACTGCGATCTGGACGCGGACGAGACAGATGCCAAGTGGGTATGCGACACCCTCGGCATTCCTTTCATGATGGTGGACTTCGTCAAGCCCTACTGGCACAACGTGTTCAGGTCAGTCACGTCGGCCTCTGTCCCGTCCATCCTCGTGCAGGGCCTTACAACCGGGACCATCAATATGCAAGCAGATTTTTGGTTTCTAAATCATCTCTTGAAAGAAATGTATCCTATTGTACAATTGTGGTAAAATTACATTTCGCAATAGCGGTAATGCAACGACAAGCGAGGGTTTTCATTGTGCAGCAGGCATAGCCATGATCCCTCCATATTTACAACTCTGTCATCAGTAGGGTGCTTTCAGAAATCCTGACTCCAAGAGATATCCAACATGGTCCTCTCTTTATGCTTCTGTCTGATCTAGGCTGTCACAGAAAGTTGGAGGTAGTACTTGACCAGCTCACTGGAAAGGTGTTGCGGGCAAGGCCAAAGGGCTGTCGACCAAGAGCCATTACTTTGCAGTAACCTAAGTGCCATTCCTTTCTAGCCCTTTTGACTAGTTCTAACTATTCTTAGAAGAACTTTACACAAGATAGCAAAAAAAAGAAACGCTGAAATCTTGAGCCAGGCGACACCGAGTTCCCTGTGAAAAGTAATTAAAATCAAACTGCACAGCTGCATCACCAATCAGTTCACTCAAAGTGCCCCATTCCTTCATATCTTATTTTTTCTTCGAAACTATCGCTTTACTTTAAGCAGTCTCAAAAGATACACAGAATTAGGAAGTCAAACATCACTTTATGGTATCTGTGTAGTGTACCTCTAGAAGTGTCTGACAAAGTTTTGCAATGACTGCGTTGCAGCCCCATGCTTCAGGAGTACCAAGATGGCCTCACTCCCAATCCAGACATTATGTGCAACCATGTGATCAAGTTTGGCGCCTTCCACCGCCACGCCGTCAAGCGCTTCGGAGCGGACGCCGTAGCAACGGGACACTACGCGCGGATACGTAACCTGCCAGATGGAAGTGAGACCATTGCGCATTCGCTGTTACAATTCCCTCTATTGCTATCTCCCCACCCTTTTACTGTCAACATAACATCTCGAGCAAACACTGCAGTAAAACGTTTAGAGACCAATTAACTGCCGATCTCACATCCTGCTGTTACACTTTCTGCATAACACATGTACAGGGTGTCCCCCTCCCCAAAAAATTAACAGGATTTTTTTTCACTGCAGAAATAAACTATGCACCGTTAAACGCTCATTATCTGCCCTAATGTAGCTCAGGTGGTCTGGACCAGATGCAAAAGTTTGAAAATAAACCATTCTCTTATTCGAGATACGCAATATTCTGAAAATTTCAATGGAGAAATGGCGCCCACCATCAGTAACCAGCGCCACTCGGTTCCATGTATACGACTCTATCGGCCGCCATTTTTTTACTTAAATTTCCAGATCACTTATAAATTTTGGATAAGATAACGGTTCATATTGAAAATTTGCCATCCACTTCGGACTGCTTGCGCTACATTTGGGTGAACACAGAGTGCTTGGCGATGCATTGTTTATTTTTGCAGTAAAAACAAAAAAAACTTGTAAATATTTTTTTTAACATACTGTACTATTAGGTTTGCATGAGGCGCAAACAGCGGAATGTGTGGTGTTCAATACTCGAGGCTTGTGGGAACTGATGAAACTGCGAGGGTGAGAGTCCTACTTCGACGTTTTTGACCAGCGTTTGGTGCAGCTCGAACTCCGCGTTGATGGTGCATCAGTAGCTTCGTCGCAGCCATTATTGCTTACTCGGCACATACAGCGCAAAAAATACGGGACACAAAAAGGGAACGGGGAAGAAGAGGTGGGAAGGACTGCAGCTGGGTGGGGTGTGCAGTGATGCGACTGACCCCAGTCACTTTGTAGCACCTTTTGGAGCAGCCAAAGTCAATTGTGGAGCAGCAAAAGGTACTTTTGGAGCACAAGCACACCCTTCATTTTATTCATACCACTGTGAATATTATATGTGAAGATTTGTGTGTTGGCATATCCAACTAAAAAACGTGCGTGCTTTGCCTTCACACTTGTGTGCAACGGCGGGTTTGATTTCCTTAAACGAAGAACTAGCTGTTTAGTTGCACATAGAAGCACTAGGCATGGCAACAAGATGGTGGTTGATGAAGGACAGTATGGACTGCTGTGAATGGTCATTTTACGTACACTTCGGAACACGCGGGACATCTTGGACGTGGAACCTCAAGAACAATGGAGGCACTATTTGGAACATTTTCGAGTACAAGTCTCTGCGAAGACTGCTCCAGAACTACAGACGGCCATAAAGACGCAATGTCGCATTGCTCAGGAAAGACTACTCCTCATGAAGCCAAAGGATGTGGAAAAGCACACACAGAAGAATCCCTCTACAGCATACTCATCTCGAACCCAGTATTGCCCCTAACGAGTATAACGCGAACACCACTATGGCTGGAAAGTCCAGACTTATGCTTTATTCGCTTGGACGATAAACGCTTACAACGCATTATACAAGTTTTGAACGAGCATATGTGTAACTGGACGACGCTTGATTACATATCTCTGTACTCCAACACTAACCCGCGTTTTGATGCTCCGCACGGTAACATTAGCTCATATTATATGGATGTTACCAGCTCTTTTCAGGCCATTGTGCATTTACTAGAATATCAGTTTGGCGACCAGGTTCCCGTCTTTGTCCAGGACTTGTACAATTTGCTCGAGTGTCGCATCCCTCAAAAAAATTGCATGGAAGTTGTGTCTCCCCCTAGTGCTGGCAAAAACTGTTTCTTTGACACTATCGTGGGCTTTTACATTAATCGAGGCACTATACACAATTTTAACCGCTGCTCAAATTTTCCCCTACAAGATGCTGTAGGAAAGCGTCTGTTAGTTTGGCACAAGCCAAACTGCGGGTCGGCAGCCTTTGAAACTATTAAAAAGATTGTAGGTGGTGATGTGGACAATGTGTCTGTCAAGAACTCACCGGACATGATTGTGATCCGGACTCCAGCGATTGTGCTCAGCAGCAGTAAAACAATTCCACGTGATGAAGCCTTCAATCATCGCATGTTTTGCTACAAGTGGACCGCCTGCCCTGCTCTCAAGATTTACGACAAGAAGGTGCACCTCCTGACCATCATCAACCTGTTTGACAAGTACCTGGACGACGAAGAATACTGCGTTCAACGCAATCTGGTTCAATAAAGCTTGGTTCAAACTTTAAACACCGCCGATTAGTGCTGTGAGCTCAATGAAGCTAGCTTACATGCCAGAACAGACTAGGAACATAAGATATGTTGCAAAAATTCCAAGTACTGTTAGTGTTTGACGCTGAAAGGGAGATCGAGTAGGATGGTACATTATTTGTGGGCAAAATCTAAATTTCCAAAAATTTGTGCAAGCCTACCACAACGATCCGGACGTGTAGCGAGGCCTGATTATATTTTCGGTATTAAGTGAAATCAAGTTTTAGCACAACGTTGGTGCAAGTTCCTCACGTGTATGCTAAATGTAGCTAGATGTGGCAGGGTAAGCCTTTTGACGCAGCAATCACATCACTGGGTGTGCTTCAGGTGTGGAGCTTCTGCAAGGTGTGGACCCTGTCAAGGACCAGAGTTTCTTCCTGAGCCAGGTGGGGCAGGCTGCCCTGCAGCGCACCCTCTTCCCGCTCGGTGAGGCCACCAAGGGCCAGGTCAAGGCCCTGGCCCGTTCCCTCGGACTGCACAGGGTGGCCGACAAGAAGGAGGTACGTCTTCACCGCCGGAACCCGTTCCCCAGAGCAGAGGGGAAACTAGTTGTCGAGGGTCTAGATCAGCGGTCTCCAAGCCCCGCCCACGGGTCACATGCTGCTCCCCTAAAAAAACAGCGCTCCAAATATGCAAAAGGAGGTATTAGAAAGAATGAAAGAAACTGCATTGTAATGAGGTTCTCTCGCCATGACTGACCATTGTAGTCACCAGCATTACGTGTCTATGTTAAAATTCTTTGGTGTTCTTTCGTACATCGTGTCGGCATTAGTTTTATCATTGTTGTTAGTCTTTTGCACTGCGGGAATGTGCCAAAGTTTCCACACGATTTGATTTATGGCTGGGACGCTTTTGCGCTCACAGTTGTTGCATAACATCATAATAAGCTAAATATGAAATTTAGAGTTAAAAATATGTATTCATCTTTTTTTTTTTTTTTTAAATACTTTAGCCATAATCTTTGCATTTAAATTCTTGCCTAGGTCTGCTTAGTTTTTCCTCGTTTATAATTACTATTTTTCTTCCTGGCCCTCAAGAATGCGACGGGGGAAAGGGGGGGGGGGGGGGGGGAGGAGGGGAGGGGAGGGGGCGGCAAAGGAAGGCCTGAAGCCCCATAAGCCTCCCTCCTGGGTACACTGCTGCTTCCAGGAAAAGTAGTACGACTGCCCACCCGTAGTCTTCAACACGTGCCACACAGTAGTGATCGCATACAAGGCACGCAGCTGAGGTCACGGCGTACAATCCGAAGTTGTGGGTGTGCCCCTAGCGAGTGTAGCGTGCACCGCTTTGCGTGCAGAGCATGGGGATGTGCTTCATCGGCAAGCAAGACTTCCAGTCCTTCGTAGAGAAGTATGTGGAGCCCAAGCGAGGCACCTTCGTGGACATTGAGACGGGAAAGGTGGTCGGCAGTCACTCGGGTAAGTGCTTTCCACCCGAGAAACAGGGCTGGCACTCTCGTACCACGCACAATGTTTTCAGAGGGGTCCGATCTAAAAGTGGCGCATTTCTTTCAACTTCTATTTCCGGCCACGACACAGTTGGTCAGAAACTGACACGGATCCCCAACTCCTGGCCGCTTAAGCTTCCTCGGACTGTCAGGCTGGAGAGCAAACTTCAGAGATGCTGGCGACAGCGAGACACTTTTATGACTTCGGGCACTTTTTGGGATGCGATAGACACACCAGAAAGCATTTTAGGCACTGTGGTGAAACTGTGGTGCAGCATGATATGCGTCGATGCAGGGGTGCACGCTTGGACGCTGGGCCAACGCTGCCGTCTGGGAGGTCTGCGCTCCGCCTACTTCGTTGCCAGGCTCTGTCCCATCACCCAGCAAATCCTGGTGGTGAGTCGGACACTGCTCCGGTGCTTCGTTGCTGCAACTCGTTCCGAGGCGCAGAATTTTAAGCAAGTTGCTTCCGACTGAATACCCAATCTCGCTTTCGGGCCTCGAGTGTGCCGCGAATGAGGCTTCGATGGAAGGATTTTCCGCTACATATAGCGGGAAACATTTCTGTTGGAGCGCAGTTAATTAATCCTAAAAACTCCGCGGACACTAGTTGTCCGTTCACAAGAGTTTGGCGAGAGCCTAGGCAGTTTTCTTTTTTTTTTTTTTGAGTAAAACTATAGAAGGGCTAGTTGGCAAAATAAAGTGTAACAAAGAAAATTAGCTTTTACCTATTGTCAAATTATCTAATGACATGGTAGGCTGGTAGGCGACTAGTTTTTATTTTGGCAAAATGAAACTGGTAAACTGCGCGCCAAGTTTATTTCTTTTATCTTCCACACCTCTTTCTGTCATAAACGCAACAACGGCCCACAATGTTATTTTATGATCTCGCAAAAGGAAAGGCTTAGCTGGACGTTAGTCCAGTAGGAAAAACTGTTTTCTTTTTTTTTCATTCACTTAAACGAGCCCTCGTTTTTTATCTTTCAAATAATAATCATGCCGCGTCGCCTTTGGCCACCTCTGTAGTAAATCGTGGCGCCGTACTGCAAGAAATTGATCCGCGCATTATCTTCAGAGGCCCGTCACACCGTCGGATGCGCCCCGTACAAAGGGAACGATTTAAAAGAGCTGGCATTCCAGGCCTCCGGCTGGGACCATCCTGCACTCCGCTGGCGGGAGATGCGCACCGGGGCACCCCACTGGATCCGACTGCCGTTGGTGGGGGGCGGGGGACCCCCTTCGGCACGCTGCCTCTTCAAGAGCCAGCACCTAGATCCCCCCGTGCCCTGCACCGTCGCCGAGGGCCCCGGCGGCGGACTAACAGTGTTGCTCGACCACCACAAGAGGGCTATCTCTCCCGGGCAGGTGCGAACCCGCTTGCCACGGAATCCGGGTGTGAGATGGTGCCCACGTGTTATAGACCGTTCCACAAACATCCGGCTCCTTCCAACCTCTCGTCGACGTACTACGGTGCAGTCCACAAGAAAAGGATATATTCCTTATAATGATCAGTTTCTAGAGTCTCTAGACTAGAAACAATCTGTTTCTAGGCCAGATGCAACAATAATCGGTCGTAACGATTGAAATTTTGAGTTTTCTCGTTATTGTTACAAGTGGATTGCACTGTACTACGGCAATTTGATGTACGGCACGTGGAGTAACACCCGTAGATGAAAGGAGCGGTTCATGTTTGCTTTGCATTGTATGATCGCGGGATAACAAAACGGGGTATCTATCGGCTTTGTGATTCGTCTGCTTCGTTTAGTTTGCATTCTGAACTCATAATGGTAAGAGAGAAGGAATTCGGCCACTTCTGGGATGTATGGAGCGTCCCTTCAGTTCCCTTCGCTGTGCAATGTGGGACGGACGAGAGGCCCGGTGGGGTTTCCTGGAAAGGTCCATCGGAAATCGTTAGCATGTCTCGGTGTCTGGAACGGATCTCCAACCAGTATGTTTAGCGTGTCCTCGCTTGTAGTCTCTCAATTCACTCCCGATAGTCCACGAAGGCTTCGGCAGCTAGACTCCGGTTTGCGACAAGTCCGACCACAGCCACTGGTCCCATCCGACGGAGCCAACCGAGCGGCGCCAAAAATGCATCGTCACGACGCACATTGTAGGTTTGGTATCACTAGGGCTCTGCGTTTTCGGACAAATCCGATAAAATCCGAAAAACACTCGCCGGTAAAAATGTTTCGAATTCAAACTTATCCGAAAAACTCATAATTCAAAAACTCAATTGCACAAAAAAAAAACTTTTTTGGGGGATAGACATTTTCTTCATCCACTTTTTATTGTTTCCAAGCTTGTTCGTTCCAATTTGCCCTTTCCAAAGGCATAAAAAAGTATGTCCTCCCAACCCTTATCTTAAAAGGCAGGCCTCCTCCTCGCGACAATGGCCGAACCAAGGTCAAATACGTGGCCGGTTTAAGCAGGGAGCTTTTCCCCAGATACCTTTCTTTCCAAGACCTTCGCTCGCCCTCCCGCGACCTCCTTTGGTTGCAGACTGCCTTCGCACACGTCCCCTGTTGTCCTCAGCGATGACGGAAATTCGAGATTGAGTCAGTCACATTAATGTGGCAATTTGGGCCAGTTGGTTCACAATCGTAGACAAGTGCCAAAGAAATGGACGTGGGCAAGTTGACGTAAACACTGGTGCACTCACAATTAACATTTATTAAAAAACCAATCCCTTATCTAGCCACGAAAAACGTCGGTCATGACTACAACCAATGTAGCCCTCTATAGAGAAATTCATATTCTTTTGCCTATAAGTTTATGGATGTGTCACTTGTACACCTCATGTATCTGGCTTTAATCTCAAACGCCTCATGTAGCTCTCTAGATACTTTATATGGGTATCATTCTTTGACCCAGATATCCGGAGAAACAACCCCCAAAAATTCTGAGTTTCGAGCGTCGTAAATGAATGCTCCAAAAAACTCAATTTCGGAGAAAAAAAATAAACAGCAAAAAAAAACAACCTCCGAGTTTTCTCAAAAACAAACTTTGAAAACGCATAATCCTAGCTATCACCTAATAAACTTATCGCATTCGAAAAAGAAAAAGTGAAAAATTGTGGCACATTCACTTTGTGCAATTAGTTTAGCTCAGAGACAGAAAACTCCCAAAGACGATGAACGTCGTGACGATCCAGGATTGGCTGTCGGGTCGTAGCGCCGGCTGCAATCGGATTTAGGTTGAGGCGGAGTACAGAAGTCGGGTCGTTTAGACGATGGCGACTCTTGCATTTGCTCGTCTCTTTCGCTGCAACTTTACAATTAACTGCGACATCCAACGGCGTGACATGCCGGCTCCCGTGATGCAGTTTGTTGCCACTTCGTGGGAATAGGAGGCTGAACGCATCGGTCCAAGATAAGTTCCAGGGACTAGTCTCGGTATTTTAAACGGCGAGAAATTTCCTGAGAAATTCCGAGCCTACGGTTTTCAACTTGTCGAGAAAGAAAGCGCCCTCGTCCCGTGGACGTTGGAGCAGGAACGAGCAGTGCAATATAATTTTTTGCAAGGTGTGTGCACTTGCGGCGTTATGACCGTCACTAGCTATACCGCCTGGCAACAGGTCCCACCCTAGGTACCATTTCACGTGGTTCCTCCAAATTGGCTTAACTTGTTCGAGGCTCTTGCAGTGGCTCTAGCAGAGTGCAGTGAGCAGCAAGACCACCTAAAGGGCTGTCCAAACGTCACACAGTAGATCCCGCTACATGAATTCATGGCGCATGCTGTGTTCCAGTCTGCCTCGATACATTTTGTTTGTTGGGGGTGGGGGAAGGGGAAGCACCCCTCCTCTGCGTCTTTGGACGGAGGCTTAAAGCGTCACCCTATGGGTCCGGACGCCCATTTGCACACTCTGCTGGCTATTGTCAAGGCTACCTTTGCTGTTCTCAGTCCCCAATCTCCCGAAAACAAGAAAGGGGAAGAGACAACGGCAAGGAAGGAGGCCGCGCTGTTTGCGTGGTTGATGTCCAAACTGAAAAACGGGCGTGCACTCCACAAATTCACCGCACATCTCGTGAATTCAGAAAACGCAGCTTCTGCCGTGTCCTGTTCGGACAGCCCTTAAGGAGAAGTAAATTGTGGTGTGGAACATTTATACCGAACCTGCTGCAGAAAATACGGATCAAATTCGTTTTTGATCACGGTACCACATTATGCAAGCTACAGACATCGTACAGTAAAACCTCGTTATAACAAAACGGGATATAACAAACTAATGGATATAACAAAGCAGTCAAAATTCCCCTTGGTTACTAATAGTGGGAAGAAATGGACATTGGCTATAACAAACTAATGGTTATAACGAAATAATTACAACCGCTCCTTCAACTTTGTTATAACGAGGTTTTACTGTACTACTTTCTCAAAGGATTACACATAAAGGACAGAACACAAACGGCACATATTCTAGAATGTGTGCTGTCCGTGTTCGGTCCTCTATGTGTAATCCTTTAAAAAGATTTTTAACCATAACCAACGTGCTCACTTATGCAGTGTGTTATCTCCGTAGGTCGGAGGACAACCATGAGTGTAGGTAGGGCGTGCCCTCACGATGCACTGTTACAGTTTGCAGTGTTCTACGGCGAGGACAGCCAGTGTTTTGGCAGTGCCAAGATCACCGAGCTGGGGCCAAGCCTATACGAAGAACAGCGGTCCTTCCATTCTACCGCTAGGAGCAAAGGATAGTTTGTGTAGACCTTTGTGTGTAAATAAACCAGACATTTCTTTTTCCCATTCAGAAGGCGATTTCGATGCAGATATTCCCGTGTCGACCGTGGCATTAATGCCGTACAAGGTGTGTCTTTGCTCGGGACAGTCGTGGCATTGTGGGAAGGCAGGCAAGGGATGCCAGAAGCCCTGCAGTGCCATGGCGACGCAGTGTTTCCTGCAAAGACAGCACACCAGCGTTCTGTGGGAAGGTTTTCGTCTGAATGCGACTACGTCCAAACACTCTGGGCTGGGACTTTGAGCGTAAGCTACCGAGCTTCTTGTTCCTTGCCAGCTAAGAAATGGCCAGGACGCATACACTAAGTTGCTCAGTGGCTGGTTGCCATGCCAATTTTTTCTGAGATTTCGGCTGGGCGCGTGTTTTGTGTTTTAGGGTACTATTATAGCTTATGGACGGAAACTGCCTCTTGGCAAAAAGCAACGGTACGGCACGAGTATTTGGACATGGGTAGATCACAAACTACAAGTGTTTGGCCAAATGCAACATTGTAATTTTTTTTTTTTTTTATTTTGGAATCGCAAGTTTTTTTGCAACATAATAAAATACTAAAGTGGAACAATAAATAGCGTAAGGACAGGCAATGGTTTGACCACATAGACAGGTCTAGCCAGTCCCGTCTTTGTGTCTTTCGTGCTATTTATAGACCCTTTCTGAAATTCAGTGCCATCTGGTGACTCAAATGGCAGTTTAACTTTTACCGTACTAATGGCAGCAATGAACCTGTGGTCTGCAGTATTTCATGGGGCACCCTCACTTTCACAAGTCAACGGTAAACGAGAATGTGCGCTTCACTGTACAGTTCTTTTTCAATCTCTTTCAGTGTCAATGGCAAAAAAATAAATGCAACCAGTCAGAACGAAGCACCATCCCAGATAGACGCCTCAATGAAGTTGCATACATCAAGGGGCTTTGAAGCCGAGTGTGCGCTACTAACATATTGACTGGGCCCAAGTTAGAAAAAAACACTTACGCAGCTCTTTCATCCAATTCCTGCTTCACGTCGTGCTAACGTCTAGAATCTATAAGCCGCGAATCATCTGCTTAGGAGCATCTTCAATTTCTTCCTTCATCAGTAAACAGAAGACAGCCATTACTATAGCACATATCCCATTTTTCAGATGATGATAGTGATCAAAGTGGCCAGACTGAATTCCGGAAAGGGTCTATTGTCTATAACTTCTCGCAAAGAAAAAGAAGGACATGGGTAGAAGAAGTGAAAAAGCTACATTTCAGACAACACTTAAAGCAAGCCCTCTGGAAATTTAGGAATTAGCAAAACCTTAGCCAGAATTGACAGTTGTGACAACATGGTACCTACCAGCTTCCCCGCTGTTAGCCACATCTTCTCCCGGTCTCGGAGTTTCAGCATGTAGGTCGTGTTCGTCAAGAATATCCCTCTGCAATAACGAGGTGGCATTCAACAACATTGCCACGCAGCATATGCCTGGAGATTGACTTTTGTCCTGTAGCCTAGCTGAGCTAGAAGGATCGGTAAACAAAACAACTGCCAGGAAAGCAAGTGCACTCTCTCTATAAAAAGCACCACTATTGGGCTGAGAACATTGGTGGAACGTTAGTGCACTCACAATTTCGCTCTGGAGTCTGTTTCGAAATTTGACAATATTTGTTATTTATATAATATACCTCAAAGGACCCTAAAAGGGCACTGTATATTATAGCAAGAAAAAAAGGAAACAGGCAAGGAACCACCTGATGCTCATAACAGATTATTAAAAGAAAAGCGGAACACACTAGGCAAAGAACAACATTCACATCTGTACAGAGACTGTCCGATCTGAAACAGGGCCGCACAACGAGACAATATTTATTTACGTACCATATTTTCCGGACTATAGTACATGTGTGAAAGTTGAAAAGTTTATGTGGTGCGATCTACAGGAATTTTTTTATTCTGTTAAAAGAGTATGTAAATGATGATTTATGTATAATACAAGCTTCTTTGTGAGCTAAAGGGGATTGGTGGCTGAGTGGGCTAGTGTACACCATCTCGGAGCTTGTGGAGCGAAAGCTCGCGCTGCAGAACCCAGGGATCCTGGGTTCAATCCCCCCCCCCGCCCGTTTCGATCTGGATGAGCATTGTACCGGCAGGCGGTTGTGCTGCCCGCCGCTAGTGCTTGGTGCACGTTAAAGACCCCAGGCTAGCGGTTATACCGCACTGGCTAAATTGCTCATCTACGGCTGGGGCACCAGACGTCCATTGAGGCAGATTAACTTCCGGCTGTATAAAGATGGACGCAACAATTTTTTTTGTTGTTTGTGAGCTAATAAAGCAGGCATTTGTCAAGATGTGCCGCGCATAAAAAGATTTATGAGCCGACTAAGCACCGAGTAAGCAATAACTTTTATCTTGGACCCCAAATTCACCCCTGGCACCGGGTGCAGATAGTCCGGAAAATACCGTAATATCCCGAAAGATGGCCCATCTCCGAAAGATTACCTGCCCCCTAATTTTGGCACGATTTGCTATTTTTTCAAAAACACAGAAAGATAGCCCACTTCTAGTAAGTTGCAGGTCCCCGGCCAATGGTGACCTTGGCAGAAATGGTGTTACTTAGCCATGACGGGAGATGAGCGCACATTGCTGACTGGGAAGAACAGTAGTCCCACGTACCACAATCAGTGTAGGCCCTCCCCGCAGTCGCAAGTTTTGCGGGTCGCAAAATCTAAAACAGATTTTTTCTGTCTTTTTTTAATCGCCCACTTCTTATTTTCGCCTCATTTGCTCTCGATATTAGGTGGGCTATCTCTCGCGACATTACGGTACAGTACTGTCGAATTTTGGGCAATTAAAACTTTTCCCGCTTTGATCAGACACAGAGTGGTACATCCTCACAATCTTGCTCGGCTTTTTGTAAGGACTGCTGGCACAGTCTTCGGAGAGCCCACCTTCAGGTGTTCTGCAAACCAAAACCCCCATCCTCAAGTGCTGCTGCGGTGAAATCTTGCTAAAAGCGCGCTCCCCATGGCGTAGCGGTGTAAGATAGCAAAGAACTCGATACGGACGCACGAGGCCGAGCGTTTTCGTGGTGTACGCGACGTGCAAACACCCGTCGGTCACGTCCTCCCATGACGAGAGCCAAAAGACACTCGCGTGGAATGCCGGTGCAACGCCTGTTGCCTGCGAAGACCCCTCTGCAAACAGTTACCGATGGCCTCTTCTTGGGACGTGAAATCTGCATCCAGAGCCCGCGTGGCGGCGGTTGAACGACCTGGCAGGCCAAGGGCTCCCACGGCGGTGTCTCCCGTGATCAGCTGTTCGCACTGGTGAGCAGCCTGGACCGTGGCGTCTTCTCCTTCCGGAGACGCCCCGTGTTGCGGCGCTGGCCAGCAGTCGGGAGAGTCTCCGTGCCGGTACAGGGCCACCGGCCAGCAGGGTTCGGAACCCTGAACAACGGTATTTCCAGTCGGCAATGCGTCGAAACGAGGCTGCTTCCCTTTTCTGGGGCCACGGTGTAAGATCTACATACGTGTGGACATTGCATGTGTGGCAGCTGCCAGATAAAGTCCTCTCCTTGCCTTGGTTGGAAGCGGCACCACCAGATGACACTTTGATCGTCAGCTCGGTTGCCTGTCGCGGGCCCCATTTCCCAAGCTTCTTTACGGGAGACGCGCTTTCTTTAAATTCGTTTTCTGGGTTGCCACGTCCTGTAGAACTTGACACTTGTGCTACGCGTTTTGCTTAAGTGCAGCCTCGTCGTCAACCCTAGTTTCGTGCCTCGACGACGGCAAGAACGGTTTTATGAATGCATCGGAGCGGAGAGATCTCTGGCGTGGCATTCGGACCGTTGTCCGTCGAGCCTAGAGCGGATGTGCCGAGCAGAAAGCGCTAACTCGACCCTTTTTTTGGGTTAAGCAATTTAGCCAGTGGAGACGTCAAAATAGGCTGCTAGCACACGTAACGAGAGGACTTTATCCGGTCGATTGCGTCGTGGCATTCGCCGTGCTGCGTGTCCATACATATATATATCTTGGCCCGCAACCTAAACAGACCTTGCTGAGGGTGATTCGACCTATACTTTATCTCGCTAGTTGCACGCGGCGTTACGAAAGTTACGGAGGGAGAGTGTAACATCAGGAGCCGGGAAGGAGGAACTCCCCTCTTATTGGGACCTTTTTTTGTGAGCCCTCTTGTCCCCCTCAGAGATTAGCCCATCACTCGGAATTCATACAAAAGCGGATGTCTTCTTTCCTGCCCGTAGCTTCCACAGCACTGCCGGAACTACAGCGAGATAGAGTGTGGTATAAGAAACAATAGGCCCGACACCTTCCTTACACTTTTGGTGAAACGTGAAAAGTGCTGGCACGAAAACAAAGGATAGTGGTGTGACCCCCCCCAACACGTCTACGTCTCCGGAGTAACAAGCCAAAAGTTCATCTTGCCATTGGCAAAAATTGTCGGTCTAAGTACTGTCGAGACCGGTTATAACGAAGTCAACGAAAATCTGAATCACTTCGCTAAATCCGCTATTTCGTTATAACCGACTTCGGTTATAACGAAGTGCAAAAGAGAATGGGAAACCATGATCGCTTAGCTGTAGCCGCTATTTCATTATAATCTGCTTTTTTTATAACCGGTCTCAACAGTACGAAGAAAAGGACTGTCTCTCTTCTGCAGGCCAAATTTTCCACTCTAATGTCTACGAGCAACCGTTCGTTGCAGGCTTTACCGTTTGTACAGGGGACGGCAATGCTCAAACTGCGGCAGTCTGTTCCACGGCTCAGCGTGTTAAAGGTGACGTCTCATTTCGTTGGTTCGCGCTCGGCTGTGCCAGCTGATCTTGTGACCCGCTGTACACACAGAGTGCGAAGGATGTAGTTTACGAGTAGGGTCCAAAAGTTTCTGGGACTATGTGTCAGATTTTGTGCCAACCTCAAAACGCCGGTGATGAGGTAATACAATCTATAGGGACGATGACGTACTAGAAAATCGCTCGACAAAGACATAGCATGCAAATTGCCGTGATGTTTAAATATGAAGACCAAACTGGGGACGTTCATACCCGAAGAAGGGCAATGTCCAAAGGTTATCAAACTGCATTCGAATGCACAACGTGACTACCGTAATATCCCGAGAGATGCCCCATCCAAGAAAGATACGCTGCCCTATTCTTCGCACGATTTGCTATTTTTTCTGAAACACTGAAAGATAGCCCACTTTTATTAATTGCAGGGCCCTGGCCAATGGTGACCTCGGCAAAACCTGTCACTTAACCACGGCAAGAGATAAGCAAACATTGCAGACTGGGAAGGACAGTCGTCTGTTGTTCCTTGCCCCTTCTTGCGATTGCAAGTTTCGAGGGTCACAAAATTTAAAACGCACTTTTTAAACTTTTTTTTTATGGCACACAGAAAGTTAGCTTACCACTTATTTCCATCCGATTTTCTATCGATCTTAGGTAGGCTATCTCTCAGGATATTTCGGTAGAGTGCAATCCACTTATAATGATAATAACAAATTCAGAACATTCAATTGTTTTAACCAATTATCGTTGTATCTGGACTAGAAACCGATTGTTTCTAAACTAGGAGCTCTAGAAACCTATTGCTATAAGTGGAACATTGTTATATGTGGCATCGTTATAGGAGAATTGCAGTGTATATTGAAATGAGCAAGAGTGAAATAGAATGTGTGATTTCTGAGCGTGGAGTGCAAAGGTCTCTTCCTGTGTGCTGTGGAGTTAGCAGTTAATACAATTACCCAGTTTCACAAGATTTTCAGTACCAGTCTGCTGCTTTTCTTGTGGAAGCTATTGGGAACTGCCATCTCAGTAGTCCTAAAATTCTGTCGAACGTCTACGACTATTCTAAGATGTCTCTTGTTTCTCAGTTTAACCCGGTAAATCTATAGTTTCTTCGCATCCAACCAGTTTCGGCTGGGAGCAAGCAAGCCTTGGCACGACCGACCAAATTTGTCCCCACCCAAATGGCACATCAAACGCGAATAAAGAGGTTCGGCGAAACATAGCATTGCTGCACAGAAACGATGCATCTTAAAAATTCTCTAAGCTCCGCGGTGCTTCAAAATCAACACCGCACTTTGCGTAAAAACAATGTCCCTCTACCGGTGCTCTCCGGCGTTTCACAGTGGGGTTCCCACCACCTTGGGGAATCCGAAATGCCAGCAACATCCCGGGCCTCAAGCCTGGAATGGCATTCACCAGCTCGCCAACTTTGTCCAGAACACTCCCTTCGGCGGTGACCGAGGGAAGCCAAGCGTTTCCGCACTCGGTGTCAGTCCTCTCTGTGTGGTTCGGTTGCTCCGCTTGCACAAAGTCGCCAGACTGCAAGAGTAATGTCGGCGGTGAGTTAGCCTCTCTTTGCACAAATCCTACCTCGTTTCACCGCTGCCAATGAAAATAGTGACAAGTGAAGTGCCAGACAGGGTTTTTAAGGTTCCATGTCTCCACCTAGGGACAGATGTCCGTACTCGGGTTTAGGTGGAGTTAGCTGTACCACACACGTTTGTTTATGAATATGCTCGTCCTAGCTTCTAGGGCACTTGCCAAGCTTTGCATGGTGGGAGCTGGCACACTGCCCCGGTGAAACTAGATTCAGCAAAGAGCATCCAGACGAAAATGCAGGTCTACAAGACGGGTACGTAACTGTGGCCTTTGTTGCCAGATGCTGGTCCCCCATCCAAGCAACCATTTGGGGTCAAAAGGAGCATTTACGGCGTACGGGACCAGAGTTGTGCAAAAGCATGCGCCGTCAGTGATGATTTTCAATAGCAAGAAGATGGATGCCAGAAAAAAGCGCTCATCAGCCATGTTTGGTGCAGCTAGTTTCAGAACTTTTATTAGAGTTCTGCAAATGGCACCTTATCCCAACTTCTGGCACAATATTCACATAGAGTTGATGCAGTGTCGAAACACAAGTGGCTCTTCTTTTCCCACAGTATATGTAAATGTATCAGGTAGAAATACCAAACAAGCTGGACAACCACTCAATGGCCTTGACATGAAGGGGAGAATTGCTACCCTCACTCTTCCTGCTCCTCAACGCAAGTGCTGATTTGCTGGCCGCCTTGACTGCCTTTCATCTCTAAGAACTTGAAATGCCCAAGTCATGCTGTCACTTCTGCATTAGGCAAAAAATTGCCATGCTTTGCAGTATGGCAAATTAATAAATTCTGCATCCTTTTACTTTAGCAAGTTGTTCATTTTCTACACAAACAAAAATGTGACAAAAATAAGCAAGCGTTTAATTTTATAGGTGGGTGCTAAGAAGCTAAATGTATAATATGCTTTCACAGAGAAAAAAAAAAAGACGTACCGTGTCCTCTTCGTGCCTCAAGGGTGAGCATGACTGCAAACCTACAAATGAGGAAAGAGGTGTTAAGGTCGTGTCAAAGCCTTCACTTGACTACAAGTGCAAACAGAGCGACCTTGATGACCACTGAATGGATGGAAGGCACTGGCTCAACTGTAACATCCATCTAGGCACTGGTGCAAAAAGCAAAAATGTTTGACTTCCATTTTGTTTCCTACTCTTTTACGTTCCAGTAAATATCACCACCGACTGGAGGAAGTCATCACCCGAATGATGCAAGGGAGGGGTCCCAGCTTATCATTCAGAAACATTGCTGACCCTTCTCCACCAAAGTTTAGGCCTGACACCAGGGCCCGTTTTCTCGAACGCGAACCGTGGTTTAAAGTTAACTATTGTCCCTAGAAGAGGGAATTCTAGGTCAGGCGACTGGGAGAGCAGGGGCGCCGAGAGAGGAGCAGTACCTACAAGCAAAATGGCCGCGACGTCGCTTAATGAGGGCTAAGAGTTCTTAGTTCTGCTGAACATTCATTTCGATCCGGCTGTTATATTAATGACGCACCATAAACCTATTAGCACGTCAAGCAAAGCGGTAGTTCAGAGGGACTACTAAACTAACTGACGGCAGCATTCCGCGAACACATCACTCTTCAGCAGTCCGGGATCCAAGACATATGACGGTACATAAGCCTTGCAAGTGTTTTTATGGTGAGTAAAAAAATGTTTTGCGAATGAGTGTTGGTATATATTTATACTAACACGTTTAATTTGTTACAGTATGCACGCCAACTCGTGAGCAGCGATTACTTTGCGAAGAAAGGGGGTTATCCTCGATAAAGTCTTCATTCCGGGTGAACAGCCGGGACATTGTACTGCTTTTTAGTTCGCAGTGCGTCGATAGTATGCCGACAGCATCGAGGTTTCTACATATCCCCGGTGGCCAGCAATTCAACGGTGACGAGAAGCTTAGCTCCTCGTCACCGGTAAATCGGTTGGGCAAAAGGAAAAGGGGGCAAACAGTTGAGATCACCAGGAATTGAAGAAACGTGCATCGCAAGGAACAAAAACGAGACTACAGCACCAGCATTGCCAGACTGGAAGGCACACGGGAAAGTTATGTGTTGTTTATGGCGAAACATATTGAAGAAAATGTTTTTTACATTTTCGAATATTCGTCGGCGAACCCTAGCATAGTAGCTGAAATTTCTTGGTATCATCTGAAGCAAATAAATCGGTCTTCAAGTACAACATTACTATATTTTGACTTAAAATAACAATACGAGATTGATAACAACCATCGGAAAAAGAGGATAAACAAAATGATTGGCTTGTTTCACCGATAGATGGCGCATCTTACTGCCCAATCAAAAATAATTATTGTTGTTCTATATCCAACCGTTTATTACAGTACCTAGGTACTTTTTCCTTCCTAGGCACCGTGGTTTACCAAAATGGGTTTACCATCGCTTCGAGAAAACCGGCCCAGGAGTGTCGGAAATGTGTGGGAGATGAGGGGGCATCTGAATTTCATTTCATTTCTTGCTTATATAAATAGCCTGTGGAGGGCTTTACGTAAGTGGGAGATTCCCCATCCCCAAAATATTTACTAGAAATGCCTGGTAAGGGGTGGCTGACACCACTGCCTGATGGCCACCCTTCATTACCGAAGAGTGCAATTCTTGCCTGCACTTGAGCATGACCCTACCATCATCCAACCTGGTACAAGCTGTGTCCCTTTTCCTCCATGCAAGACATATATCATTTGCAAGCCAGAACTATGCCAAAAGTCTTGTTATCATTAATTAAACAACATACCAAAACTCTCGCCTTGTGGAACTTCCTTCTGTTGGTCCTTTCTATCCATAGGCTTTGACTCCCTTGGCTTCTGACGAGGCTTTTCTGCAAACAAATATCGGGACAAAATGGCACTGCACTGTCACCCTTCTTGATTTTTTGCACGACACGGTGATTATCTAACTTCTAAGTGAACCCCTGTGGTATGTTTTAAGCCCGATGCTTCCCCAAGAACTCACGCAGTCTACTGAAAGACCCAGCAATCCACCTAGTCTCTCCGAGAGTTCAGTACCGACTTCGAGCTGCGACTGCAGAATGCATTGTAGCATCTGCCTGTTTATATGAATCAAAGCAGTGGCAGACTGGATGCTGCTGTTGCTTAAAAACAAAGCATTTCGATTATACTAGTCTAATAATGTTTCAACAACCCTATGGTTTTGAATAGCAAGCTAAGTTTCAATGAAAATATAGTAAGGGTGCAGGCAAGCTGGTGAATATCAACCATGTTGAATTAACCCGAGATCGGGGTGGAAGAGAAATATCAAAACATCGAAGGGACAGAAAATAGGTAGGATGACGTTTCAAACTCAGCTAACTCGTTTATTTAGTCCACCTTTCTTTTCTACAGTCTCAAACTGAAGGTCATCACCACCAACACAGAAGGACAAAGTCTGTACAGTTCAAGAGCCACAAAAGAATGGAGACAACCTTATAGGTCGACACTCTAAAGTGACACCCATCCTCCTAAGGTTGAACAAAAGGATTATTCTCCCCTTCTATTTCTAAACACAGTTCTCACATCTGATAGAAAAGACACCCTCTCCACCTAAAACCATCCAAAAAATAACCAAAATGGCCTTCGGGCCAACACAATGTTGGGACACAAAAGTACTGAAAGATAACCAAAAAAAAAAAAAAATGGCTTACAATCATTCCGATAAAGGAAGTAAGCCCAGATTAAGGCAGGGTCTGGGCATCTACCAAAGCTGCAGAGTTTTGTCGATAGTGAGAAGATAGACATAAGCTAAGTCCTAGCAGCACTATATGAACAACTTACGAGACGTCTTGTTTCGTGCTTTGCATTGGCTCTTCAGCTTCGCTGGCCTCCGACCAGGATTTTCGACAGGCAAACATTGTGAGGGAATGGCCCCTCTCTTCAACCTCTGTTTCTTTGGTATTGGAATGTTACGGCCATCTGCAAAGGACCAGAAAACACCTGCCATGCAGCAAAAACATGTGCACCTCCAATGACAGAAATAGAGGTGCGGATATACTGCAGGCATGGTGCCGCCCGAAAGAATAGGCTGGTTGTATCCTCTAGGGGGGGTGGCATTGGGATTGGTTCGGAATGCTTTTTACACAAGCTTACTTGCACTAGTGGGACCTAAGAAGATTCGCACGCGACGCCACTGATCAAGAAGCTTCTTTGTCGCCACATAAGTTTAAGGATAAAAGCGAATATTTTCTTTCAGTCTCTCCTTCACAAAACTTTATGACAAAGTTGCAGGGATTGCATTGTTAGTCATCAATGGCATAGCCAGGAATTTTTTTTTTTTTTTGGGGGGGGGGGGGGGGGGGGGGGGGCGGGGGGGCTGAGGTGACCGGGATGTTCGTGATTTGGGATGTGGAGAAGGGGAGGGGTGTTCAAATTGTATGTGTATATTATAGGGTCGGCTGCATTTCGGGGTGGGGCTGAAACCCCATAAGCCTCTTCCCTGGCTACGCTGCTGCCTAGCTTATACAGTGGACATGAAAACTGTGTGAGTATTGAATATGGGCTCACGACAATCAATGCCTCAACATGCACTCAAGAAGTGGCTCGTGCCCAATCGCCACGATGACGGCAAGAGCCCAACGTTAACAATGTGTAAAACTTGGCACATGCCCCGTGCTTTGCCAGCCCCAACGCGTGGCTATAATAAACATTGGCAGCATATAATTTGCTCTCCATCATGTGGCGGCTTGTTCTGGCTGCATGTTAAGGAAGTGAACGTAGCTCGTTTTTCTCTCATTTTTCGTCCGCTGCTGCACACAAAAAAAGAAGAAATGTTTTATAGGTTACAAGTGTCAAGGAATCATTCTAAGCAGTATTTACTGAAAGTACAAAAATGGTTTTATCGCCTCTTTAGGAGTCTGCTACTCTAACGATGCGTCTATAGACAACGACAGGTTAAGAATTTAGGAGGAACTCCTTCCAGTCCACTTTAGCAGAGCAACACTGGAGGGGAAGCAACCTCCTCTCTGGCGTTGGCTCTGCTAAAGTGGAGAGGGGTGGGAGGAACTTCCCCTGAACTCTTAACCTTTCACTGACTACACCGTAAAATACCGGGCAAGCACCCACTCAAAATTTTGAGATAATCGCAAAAAAGAAAGGGGATGGGCGCTTGTCCGTTCATCAATTTTACATATAAATGCACTGTGTTTTCTCAGATCTTACAAATTTGGGAATGGGCGCTTAGTGTGGAATGGTGCGGATGCGAGGTATTCTACGCTAGACACCAAACTTGTCTGTACTCTGTCTGTATTCCCTTCTTTTCTCCAACTTTGCCCTTGTTTCTAGCGACAATGATTGGTATCTTTTGGGCTGTGCTACAAATGGCTTGCATGATCATCTATGGTCATTCCTGCGTGTTCCAGTCGGGGAGAACAGATCCGGTGGTGCGATGTTGTACACGGTAAACGCTCAGCAGCAAAGCCATCACAATGGCCACTGATGCGACGTCAGCGCAAGGCATGTATACGAGCGCAAAAAACTTGAAATTTAAGCCAGTTACATCAAACTGTGCCCTTTGACCACAACAAAGTGACTAGCGAAATGAACTAGAATCCGTAAACGGCGACCAGGCAGAACAAACCACATTGTCATGCAGCTCCCGTGCGTACGTCGGGGGTGGGGACGTACTGCGAGCGGTGGGCAAGTACACACATTTAAACAACTCCACTGCCGTTCTGAACGCTCCCTCGCTACCTGCTAGACCGCGTGGTCTGTACTGCCTCGTCGCCGTTTGCGCATCCTAGCTCATATTGCTAGCCACTGTAGAGCACGTCAGAATGTGTCTTGCTTACCAGCTGCACTCCAGAAGAAGTCATTCCTCAGGAAATGAATACTGCAGACTTGCATATGAGTCGAAATCGACTTGTTGATTCGCAACTTCGCTCTCCAGGCCTCCCTGAGCCGAGCATCGGTTGGGAATCTGTGAAGGCTGATTTTACCTTTCACGGATCGGTTCGTGCACTGCGGAACGCTGCAAGAGCGGTGACTACTGAATTGTAGGTTTGATCGATTCGGACTCATCGTGAGCCAGTAACAAAACCAACGGGACGCCCAGAATGTTGAGATAACAGTGACAAAAACCGAGGGAAATCATCCAATGTGCAAAAGGAACATCACGCCCAACCTCCTTGAGCTTTCATTTCAAGCTGCTTCAGCAGCTTCAGCTTCAGCTGCTTGAGCGCTTGAGCTGGCTTGAGCCACAGTGGCTGGAAGTGGCTTGAGCCAATCCTGTTGGCTGGAAGTGGCTTGAGCCACTTCCAAGTTCCAGCCAACAGGATTGGATTGGATTCCCTTGCGTTTCCATTTAATGGGTGGAAGGTAGGCGGAAGTTGATTCTTAATGCTTTCGCCGGATGAATAGATGGATGAATGGATTGTAATGGGCGGCAGCTTGCGTCACCTAGCCTAACATTTCGTCATGCCTTCTTTTTTTTATATATATTTGTATGAATTTTGTTATACATACCCCCCTTTGTTTTAAATTGAATTTATTGCTTATTTTTATCTGTATTTTTGTTTTTATCCTTCCCTAGATCTCTTCCACCCATCTTCCAATCTCCTCTTAGTTACCGCAATGGACTTGATGATGATGATGATGGTTTGCGGCTGTTCCCTTTTGAATCGGGCGGTCCCGTAGAGTTTGGAACCTAGCCAGTGGGAATTCGGTTATCCCCGTTGGTGAACTAGCATCCACCAGTTCTCTAATCTTCGCTTCGTGGCTTCCACCTGCTCACGCCACCCTCCGTTGGTTCTCGGTGTAGCGTCGGTGTTGTTGTTGCCGTTAGTCCCACCCGCAGAGTCTGCCACTGAGCTGGAAGCAGACCCAAAGCCGAGTGCCTCTGCCAGTGCGAGCTCCCGGGTTGCCTGTCCACACTCCGCCGGTTGAACTGGTTGCAGACCGGTGCACGACAGCACAATGTGTTCAATTGTCTCATCCGCCTGACTACACACACGGCATGCTGCAGATTCCACCGTCTGGTCGAAGCGACGGCGATACACCTGCGTTCGCAGCCCTCCTGCGCGTGACTCGAAGAGGAGCCGGCTGCCCAGGCTGTTGTCGTATAGTCTAGTCTCTGCCGAAATGTTGTGCTTATATCGACTGTACATATATAGCGTCGACTTGGACTTCGCCGTTTCTGCCCACCGAGCTGCCTCCTCCTCTCTCACCCTGTTTCGAATCTCCATTTCCCACTTCCTGTCTGATGTAATAGTTACAGGGGTTGAAAAGAAGCCGTATTTCTTCTCTAACTGATACAGCCGCTTCCTCCAGCCAGTCTGCATTCCCGTGAGATATGTGTAGACGAAGAGTCTCTTGGCCCACCGGCCGCGGTCCATGAGACGGAGACGACTGTCGTAGGTTATCTTGCCGGTCGCCTCCCTGGCCTCAAACGACGACCACCCAAGATCTCCCTGGACCGCTTCGGTGGCCACCATTCCGTGACAGCCCAGAGCCTGCCTCCCGACCTCTCGTTGACGTCGTTCCATTACTTCCCGCACTGTGCCAGGGACACAAAGAACCGCGTTGGCGAAGGTTAGTCCAGGCACCATAACCGCCTTCCAGAGTTCGCGAGTCACCAGAAAACGATTGCAACTCCAAAGATTACGTTTTCGGAGTACATTCGTACCTCGCACGGCTGCCTGTCGGAGGTGGGTGTAATGATCGGACAAGTACTCCGGCTTGTTGGCCAGTACAACTCCCAGGTATTTGTACGACTCCTGTACCTGTGCTTGCTCGCCGTTCAGCACCAGACTGTTTAATTTAGCCTCATCGGACCCGGCTAATTGAAGGACTGCCGACTTTTTGGCGTTGAAACGAAGGCCCAACGTAGCCGCCTCCGTCTCACATATACATATTAGACGCTGCAGGTCCTCCACCGTCTCCGCCGTCAATACAATATCGTCCGCATAGGTGAGGCCCGGCAGCATCCACCTCACCTCTGCGCCTCCTTCCATGTGTGTCAGGGAAAAACCCACCTCCGACTGGATCAGGCGTTCCTCCAACCCTGACACATACAGAATATAAAGAAGCGGGGAGAGTGGGCACCCCTGTCGGAGACCCCTCGTCACTGTGACTTGCTCTGAGTCGACTCCCTTCAGTTGCGTCATTACTGTATTGCGTGAGTATAGGCGCCGTATGACAGATAGCCACCGATGAGGAAGGTGGAGCTCCTCCAAACGTCGCACGAGTTGAGCGTGCGGCACACTGTCATATGCTTTTGCCACATCTAGAAAGCAGCACAGCAGTCTTCTTTCCTGTTTTCGGGCAATTTCAATACACTGCGTGAGGGTGAACAGGTTGTCTTCCAACCTTCGACCCCTCCGAAATCCGCCCTGAAGTTCGGTGAGCAGTTCGTTCTCTTCAGCCCATGCTGCAATATGTTCCTTGATAATGTGGGCGAAGGTGCGGTATACCGTAGAGGTCACGGTCAGGGGCCGATAATCCTTGAGGAACTGTTTGTCGCCCCCTCTCTTCGGGATCAGAACCACGCGGCCGACCCTCCAGTCTTGGGGCACAGGTTCCTCTCCCCTTAAGATTGCTCCAAAAATATCCGCCAGCTGCTCCACTGCATCTTTTCCCAAGGACTTGAGAACGCTTGCCGGGACCCCGTCCAATCCCTGGGAAGTAGCCCCTTTCAAGCGTGCCAGTGCACGCACAACCATCACTCGGCCGATGTCCCCCTCTTGGTTGGAGTCCGATTGATCCGGGGCAAGTAGGCCTTGTGGTGTGGACACCTCCTCAGGAGCAAACGTCTCCGTCAGGTACTTGGTGAGGTGGGTTCCAAGGTCTTCTGGCGGATTCCCCGTGCTCTCGTCAATTATGGTAACATCTTGGTCCTTTCCCTCCAGCGATCCAAGGTACTTCCAGAACTTTCTGGCTGCGTCCCTTCCGCTAGATCTGATATCTCGGACGGTCTCCAGATCCGCTGTTCTCATCTTCTCTTGGGTTAGTCGTTTAGCATAGCACTTGCAGTCGTGGTACATGGTACATCTTCTAGCAACCTCACTCCCAGATTCAGTTCGGAGCGATTGTCGATGTTCCCTGTTGGCTTTCTGTCTAGCCAGTATAGCTTCTTTAACCTCTGTGTCCCACCACCTCTTCTTCACTCTCCGTCCACTGGGCTTCCTGGATGCATGTTGCTTGATGAGACGCTTGAGCTCTGTGATGTACTGTCTGTAACCAGACGATTGTATCCTTATGTTGCTTCTTTCAAATTTCTTCGTGACCCTTTCCACCTCCTTCTGAGCCAGATGTGTTCGTCTCTTGTACTGAGGACGGGTTTTCGCCTTTGTCCATATGTTTTTACTGAAGTCCAGTCGCAGGCAATTGTGGTCGCTGCCGACGCTGTGCTCGCCTTCCTCGTGGATGGAAACACCAACTAGGCTCTTACCAAGGCGTGAAGACACCAACGCGTAATCTATGCAGGTTCTGCTTCCTCTGGCACACCACGTGTATTGACCCTTGCATGATGCCCGTAAGTTAACTAGTTCAAGTTGAAACTCGTCTGCTAGATTCAGTAGCCGACGCCCGTTAGCATCTTCACATCCGTCAAGTTCATGGAGATGGCCGTTAAAGTCCCCCATGATCAAGATATTCCTGCCTTTCTCCAGTGCCTTAATTTCTTTGGTGACACACGCAATAGTAGCTTCGTTCTCCTCGTCGCGCGCACTCCCCACCGAGAGATACACAATACACACAGACACTTGGGTTTGTAGCAACTCTCCCTCCACCCAGATGTGATCTCTGCACTCGTCGAGCGTCCTGAGCCACACTGTCGTGTCCCGCCATAGAACCCCAACACCACCACCTCTTCTTTGACCCTCTTGGCGGTTGCACCCAGCCCAGTGCCAACCAGGGCGCACCGGGGGCTCCTCTAGGTCCCTAAGGTGCGTTTCGGCCACCCCAAAGATGGCCATTCCTTCAGACTCCAACTGGTTAAAGAGTTCCTCCCACTTTTGCTCCCGTCGTGCTCCTTGCAGGTTGAGAAACCCTACTGTCACTGTCATGCTCCTGTGATGCTTCTTCCGTTTCCTCCTCGCAGCTCCACGTTTCAGTGCGCCTTTGTTGGAGCAGCGTTGCCGCTCTACTACTTCATGGGTACATGAACCCCGATGCCCAGCTGCTGGCGCACCGTCTCCGCTACCAGGCCGCTGAGCCACAAAGGAGGCATTGCTGGAGGGCTCATGTGCATAGGGTGTCGGACAAGCTCCGGCGGGTACACGGGGGTTCGTCCATCCTGGACTGGCGTCAGTTCTGCAGGGATGTCCTCGTGGTGATATTGAAGAGTTGGGTCTTCTTGGATCCTCCTGGAAGCGTCTCCCATTGACAGGCCGATTCCGGTCGGATGCCGCATCAGCCCCGGGTGGACCCAACCCCGCTCTGGGTACGCCGATGTTCCTCCCCTCATCGACGGTTGCCAACCACTGTGGGCATGCCGCTCCTGCATGGTGGTCCCCTGTGGCGTGGATTGGTCTTTCTCTTCTCCACCCCGTTGGCGTCGGACGTATGCTCCCTGCGACAGTCGTTGTTGCCACAGCTCTCCGCACGGCACGTGACCCACTAGCAGTGGGGCAGTCCTGGTCTGCCCACAGTCTGTGCCAGCTGTCTGGTTCATGGGTTCGTGTATTGGCCGTTGTTGGGCAGGATCTACAAGTCCATCCTGCTCGCGGTCCTGTTGTGCCTTCATTCGTCTGTCCTTTCCTTGCCTGCCTAAAAAACGGTTGGCGAGTCCTACTAAGCGGCCAGTCACCATGTTGATGCCTTGGTTGCTGTACCGGAGCCCGTCCTTTTCCATAAAACCGTCATTTACCAAATTCCTGCTCAGGTCCACGTACTTGGCATGGATCTTCTTGCACATTTTTCTAAGCCTAGAGTTCAGCATCATAGCCGCTGCTTGGGTCTCCTTTCCTCTGCTCGTGACTTCGAGGACAGAACAGACTGTCAGGGCAACTTCTCTGAAGCACCACTTCTTCTCCAGGGATTCTACTATGTCGTCTGGCTGCTGCCCTTGTAACAGGTCCTGCATTCCAACGTGCAATATATACATCCTGGGGATTCTCCGCGCCGTCGCTTCGTAGTCTGCAATCATCCTGTGCGCTATATCGACCGTCGCCTTTCGGTTGAGTAGGACGTCGAAGTTTTGACCGCCACCCATCTGTTCGGAGAAAGCCGGGGCAAACCTCCCAACGTTACTGTCTCCTACGATCAGGACCTCTT